CACTAAAAGAGATTGAACAAAACACTTTCAGTAATATGTATGATATCCTCTACTTCTCTGGAGACCCAATATTCGTGAAGTATATAAACAAACAATTGTTGTTTAGAGTGAACATACCAGATTTTGTAACAGTCATACCTAAAGAATGTTTTAAAGGGTGTGTTCATCTCCAGGATGTGAAAATCCCAAATACACTTTTAATCATTGAATCAAAAGCATTTGCAAGATGTATTCGACTCAAACCAATCACCATCCCTCAAAGTGTGACATCAATCGCAACCGACGCATTTGAAGGTTGCAAACCAAATGCATTTAATGGATTAAATCAGATGCAATTTGAATCGATGTTAAATGAACTTAACGTCGACAATTCCGTCACACAAATGATGTTAAAAGATTATTCAAATTACAAGAACATCGAATGTCTCGAGATACCAATAACTACACAAGAAATAGAGCCCGAAATATTTCAGACATTCAAACACTTAAAATTTGTCAAATGCGCACCAATGTGGTTTCAGTTCATGACAAATTTAAAGATAGAAGTTGCATTAATTCCGAACGGAATAGAAGAAATATCCAAAGGAGAACTGTTTGGAATGGATTCGTTATCATTTTTGTCTATACCGGACAGCGTCGATGTTATCCAGCCTGGGGCTTTAGCATGTTGCGCACAACTGAGAAATGTGAAGTGCAGTTTAAAACACTTTCAATATTTTGATCCAAGAAATATAAAAATGTTGATACTTAACAATGAAGTTAAAGAGTTGTACCATCTCAATTTTGGACTAGTCAATTTAGAAAAGTTGGTCATACCAGAAACGACTAAAATAATGGACAAAACAATATTCGTGGACTGCAAAAAGCTTGTGAATGTCAATAGAAAGGATGCTAAACAAATATTGAATAACAAAGTGAGTATCAAAGATGGTACAAAAACCATTTACAAAAAAGACTTTGAAGGGTGGACTAACATCAAACGTCTTGAAATTCCAATTTCAGTTACAACTATTGAACCAAACACTTTTAACAATTGTCTGTTACTCAAACATTTGAAATGTGAAATTAAGTGGTTTAATATACTGCCAACCAACAAAGTTAAAACTCTTTTTATCATTGGTCACATCACACAACTTTGTGGAAACTTATTTGAACAATTTTACAATCTGCGGATACTCTTTTTACCAGACAGCGTCGTTGGCATTGACCCAACTGTGTTGGACTGTTGTGGGTTCCTAAAAATATTACGATGCAATCCCCTTGCATGCCGCAATCTGTCTCAAAAGACCAAGAAACGAATAAACCCTACAAAACAAAGAGAATACATCCAACCCAATTACAACTTCGAACAAGTAAAATTGCCTCAAAACTCTCCAATACCAAATAGAGAGTATATACCTACAGGAACTCCAAAAGTTGTAAGAGAGAGCCCAATTAATAAATCAAAAGACAAACCAAACCCTGAACCTGTTAAAAAAGCAAGTGTTCAAAATGTTAATAACACTCGAGAAAAACAGAATGTTTATGTGACACAGAACATAAGAGAAACAACTGTGGATGATTTGGTCAGGTTTGATCGTGGCAACGCAAAATATGCAGAATTGGTCAGAATGATATTACACGTCACAGTCAATGGTGGAATAAATATTGCATTCTCTCCTCTAACAAGTTCAGTTGGTGAAATTGCCAAGGTCTGTGGAGCTGTTTGTAGACACATTTATCTTTCAGACAAAATTGCATTAAAGAATGGATACCACATTGTCCCACGTCCTGTTCAAGTCTTATCTATTCTTCGTCTTGCTGATGAAATATTGAACCGCAAAGGTGCAATTGGTGAGATCAAAACAGGTGAAGGAAAGTCATTTATCATTACAACACTGAGTATTGTTTTAGTGAAGTTTAAACGTCAAGTGGACATTGTCACATCTAATTTGGAGTTGGCAAGAAGAGACCAAGATGAACAGAAAATGTACTTTGATCTTTTTGGGTTGAGCAGTGGAGTACTTTTCAACACAAAAAGTGACAAGGAATTTATGACAAACAACACTTTTGTTGTAAATGAAGACAACAAAGACACACTGGAGTCATTTAATTGTCGAGTATTTGATTGTAACATTGTATACTCAACAAACTCCAATTTTGAATTTGTGCATTTGCATTCGTTATTTAAAGCAACTCCACTAAGACATCGACCTTATGATGTTGTCATTGTCGATGAAGTTGACAATATGTTATTAGATGAGTCAATGTCTCCTGCAATTATCGCAAAAGACATCAAATTGGCATTTTCAAGTGATGTACTCAAGATAGTGTTTATCTTGCGCAACTGTCCAGTTCCTGAAATAGTTAAAGTGTTGAAATACTACTTCCCAAAGTGTGGTAATTTCGATGATGATGAAGTTGATCTACTCAGACATGCCGCTAAGACTGCTGGAATGAATATCAAAAACACAGATTACATTATAGAAGATGGAGAAATAGTCATAATTGACTCGAACACTGGCTTCAAGAAAAAGGGGAGCAGATGGAACAATTACATCCATGAAATGGTTGAGATAAAGGAAGGATTGACTCCAAAAAGTCCATCAGTTTCTATAAGCCAAATTACACAACACGGATACTTTAATTTGTATCACAATATCGGAGGAGTGACTGGAACAATAGGTAGTGCTGATGATGAACAGATGTTAAGTCGAGAATATGGTGTCAATATTTTTAAAGTACCACGTCACTTTAGTTCACAGAAAAATGTGATTATAGTTCAACGACCAAATTCACTTGTACAAATTTATGTAAAGATATACAAAGAAATTATAAATGAAACAAGACGAGGAAAACCAGTACTTGTTATCATGGATTCTATTAATAGAGTTAACGAGTTTGTAGAGAAAATATACAAAGAATCAAGTGTAATAACTGCAGTGAATCCACCAGCAGATAGAGTATCTATAACACAAGCAGGAGAGTCAAGAAGAGTCACAATAGCAACTTCCGCAGCCGGGAGAGGGGTTGACATCAAACTTTCAAAGCAGTCTTTATCATCGGGCGGTCTTCATGTAATTATTCCTTTTCAAATGGCAAACCAGAGAGCATTAGAACAAGCTGCTGGGAGATCTGGAAGACAGGGGCAGCCTGGAACCGTCACCATATACCGTTCGGACAAAGATTTGTTTTACAAGACTCCCGAATTTGAAGTTGGCAATGACAACTTGGCCAAACTTGAATTGTATTTCTCTGAATATCTCAGAACAAATTTCAGATGGATTTATAATGGAAAGGGGAAATATGGGTTGGGAGATAACATGTTTCCATTTGGTGTGACGGTCTCAATTGTTTTAGATATCTTTGCGAATCGACTCTCGAAAATTCAAAACCCCGAAGAGTTCCAGGACATCGTTTTGGAGATGGTCCAAACGGCTTGGGGCGTCTTTTTCAGTCGACTTGAGAAGTCCATTAAGAAGTGTTCAGACATGGCTTTTTGTCAATCAGAGTACAACAGCTTTCTTCATGAACTGAGTGCATGGCTCCCTCTTCAGAGTACAGATCTTGTGAAAGCCCAGACCCACATTTTCGGCGAGTCAGTTAAAAGAATAGATTGGGGTGAAATTGCAATCATTGGAGGTATCACAATCGCATCAATTGGAATTTCAGTCTTCTTCCCACCAGCAGCGCCTTATGTTCTTGTTGGAGCTGGTGTAATGCTTGAAGGAGGGTTGGAAGTGTATCAACAACTAAAAAATGGAGATGACATCAATTGGACTGCAGTACTTATTAAGTCTGGTGCTGGTGCTATTAAAGGGGCAATTGCAACAAGTGGACTTGGCACAGTATACTCAGGACTTGCGATTGGAGGCACAGGAGCTCTCGAGAATTTATTATACTCAGCGGCTACGGGAGATATCAACAAAGATACAATAAGTGACTCACTGATTGGAGGAGGGCTCGAGGGACTTACTTCTGGAGCACAAGAATGGCTGGGTGGTAAACTGTTCCCAGAATCAGTGGGTGGTGGATTGGCTCGAAAATTTAAAAGTAAATTTGCTCAAGCGGAAATCGACGATTTATTATCGAAGATATCAGACAGTATTGAAGATAAGTTGACGAACAAAAAGGATTGGGATTCTAAGTGAGCG